AAAAAAAAAAAAAAAAAAGAACGGTAAAGACAGGTTTGAAACTGAACAGAAGGGACTTGCCTGATGGGATCACAAAACGTATCAAAATAAAATCATTAAACTACATCATGGATGGAACAGATAAAGAGATTAATAAAACTTAACAAATGTCAGAAATAGACCTGTGTATATATGGGAATTTGGTTCATGATAAAGGTGAAATATCAAAATTGGGGATTGATTTTTAAAAAAAATGGTATTGGGACAATTGGCTGCATTCATTATAAATTCCTACTGTAGTGCATTTTCAAAAATAAGTCTTATATAGATTAAAGACAGAAACAAAATCGAGACTCTGAAAGTATTAAAAGTAATTACAGGGGCGCCTGGGTGGCTCGGTCGTTAGGCGTCTGCCTTCAGCTCGGGTCGTGATCCCAGGGTTCTAGGATCGAGCCCCGCGTCGGGCTCCCTGCTCAGCGGGAAGCCTGCTTCTCCCTCTCCCACTCCCCCTGCTTGTGTTCCTTCTCTCACTCTGTCTCTCTCTGTCAAATAAATAAATAAAATCTTTACAAAAAAAGTAATTACAGGATATATTTATGACCTTGGGGGTATGGCAGGTCTCTTAACACACCAAAAGCCAAAGTCAGCACCGAACAGAGTGATAAACAGGTGTGAATAAACACTATGAATTCTCTGTGACATAAATAAATAAATAGTTAAAATACAAAGTACAAGCTAGGAGGGAATACTTAGAATATACATAACTAAGAATTAAAATCGGAATCCATAAAGTACTCCACAAATTAAGACTAATAAAAAAAGGCACACAACCCCATTTAAAAAAATGGGCAAAGGATATGAGCAAGCCATCCACAGAAGACAAACTACATAAGACCAATAAACTCACAAAAAGATGTTCTCTCTCCTTAGTAACCAGAGGGCCGCAAGTTAGAACAGTGTGATACTGTTCTTTCGGGAAATGACTAATTCTAACTCATCAACCCGGTCTCTGCTCAGATGTCCCTTCCTCCAGGAAGCCCCGCCCTACCCTGGGGCTGGGTTGGGCGGCCCCTCCTCTCCCCTCCCCTCCCCTCTCCCCGGCGGCCGTCTGGGGTCTCCCATCCCAGCCTTGCTCACTCCGCGGGTCGTCACTGTTTGGGAACTCGAGTGTGTCTCTCCCACTGGACTGGGAACTCCAGAAGGACAGGAGGGAGCTATGGTTGCCAGTGGTCACTGCTGAGTCGCTAGCACTGCCCGGCACACGGCCGGGAACAGAGGAGGCGCTCGGGGGGTACGGGTGGAATGAGAGAGTGAATGAATGTGGAAACCGAGGCCAGGTCAATGGCAGAGCTGGGATGTGAACCCAAGTCTGGACTGAGAGGAGGAACCTAATTTGATCTCCCGTCATTTTCCCTCCCACTGAATCCTGTCCGGAGGCCGAGCACAAGGAAGTGCCTCATAAGGGCATCGAAATTGAACTTCTCGGCAACCAGAGACGTTCAGGCGGCTAGGTCGACGGCTCTCTCCAACCCAGACCTCTGCAGTCCTCCAGGACCATAGAGAGCTGCGCGGGGACCGCCCCTCTCGAAGCTCTACGCCTCTGGGGAACGGTGAGGGCGGGATCGAGGGCTAGAGAGGCCGGAAGTAGGGCGAGCCCGGGGACGCGCTGGCCGCGTCGGCGGTGGGACGCCTCGGTCCCTCTCCGGTTTTTTACTCGCGGTTCGGGGGCAAGGAGGTGAGTCCTCGCGGCGCTCCGACAGTGGGGCTGGGTCGAAAGGGGCGGGTGGGGAGAGGCGACCGGCAGCCACAGGAGCCAATCAGTCGTTGCAGTGTCTGAGAGATGGACGAGATGGAGCGAGGGGAGGGTATCAGGTGCGAGCCCTGGGGGCGGGGCGGAGGGGACAGAGGCTGGACTGGGCAAACGGCAGGCGGGGAACAGTGAGGGCGGGGCGAATAGAAAGTGGGGCCCTCGAGGGGCGGGGCTAACGCAACATCTGGACCGGTAAGGGGCGGGGCGAGCTGAAGGTGGCGGCTCCGTGTGGGCGGGGCTTTAAATAATTTAGGGCACTGGGTGTTTGGAACTTGATGCTGTGGAGCCCCGGGATTTTTGGGGCGGGATAGCTGGGAGTGGGGGTTCCTGCTGGGAGGATGGGAATGCCGGCGCTGGTGTCTCACTCGCGCCCGCCGCCATGTCTTCATTTTCAGGCCCCAGAAGAACCTCGGGATGGACGAAGAGGGAGTGCGGCAGCCCTCCGGGCCACCCACGAGGAAGAAATTCTTCATACCGCTGGGCGAAGATGAGGCCCCTCCTGCAGGGGTAGGACGAGGAGATGAGGAGAACACTGGGGAGATGGGAGCCACGGAGGTCGCTGAGCAGAGGGACGTGAAATGACAGTGAACAGACAGTAAGGGTGTAGACAGGGAGCTGGTGAGGAGGTGACTGCAGTGGGCCAAGGGAGAGAAGGTGGTGGCCGGGACCAGTGCAGAGGCTGAGGAGTGGGGAGAAGGGGCTCGATTTAGATTTTGACACTCTCTTCCCCTGCACAGGTCAAGCCCTTATTCAAATCCACCCGGAGCCTGCCCACCGTGGAGGCCTCACCTCAGGCAGGCCCTCAGACGTATGCGGAGTATGCCATCTCGGGACCTCCAGGAGGGGTTGGAGCTCCACACCACAGGGGGCCAGAGCCCCTGGCAGGAGAGACCCCCAATCAGGCCCCCAAACCGGGGGCGAAATCCAGCAGCATCATTGTGAGCCCCCGCCAGGTGAGGAGGGGATGGAGAAGTGGGGCTTTGAGGTTTCTGGTGGGAAACACGGGTTATGGTGGGGAGTTCTGGTGGGCAGTGGAAGGAAATCTGAGCTCTGGCCTTTTTTTTTTAAGATTTTATTTATTTGTTTGACAGAGAGACAGCGAGACAGGGAACACAAGCAGGGGGAGTGGGAGAGGGAGAAGCAGGCTTCCCGCTGAGCAGGGAGCCCAATGCGGGGCTCGATCCCAGGACCCTGCGATCTAGACCTGAGCCGAAGGCAGATGCTTAACAACTGAGCCCCCGAGGCGCCCCTGAGTTCTGGCCGTTGTGCTCTGGGCTGGGCCCCTCTTTCATAGATCCATTCAAGTACTGCGTGTGGGTTGAGATTGCTCCATGTCATATTGTTTTGTTAGAACAAAAGTACCATAGACTGGGTAGTTTAAACAGCAAACATTTATTTCTCACGGTTCTGGAACCTGGGAAGTCCAAGATCAAGGCGCCGGCAGTCAAAGTGTCCGGGAAGGACCCTGGTTCATACACTGCTGTCTTATTGTGTCCTCAGATGGCAGAAGGGGTGAAGAAGCTCTCTGGGGTCCCTTTTATGAGGGCGCTAGTCCCATTCCCGGGGGCTCCACCCTCATGACCTAATTGCCTCTCCTCACCTCCTAATACCATCCCATTGGGGGTTAGGATTTCCACATGTGAGTTTTGGGGGGGACACAAAAGTTTAGTCTATACCACCCTGACTCTTCTTTTTGGGGGTGCGACCGCGTTAGTGCAGCTATATTTCCTGTCCTCCGGGTTTGTTGTTTCATTCAAAGACGATTTCTTGAACGCAGGCCCGAGTTCGAATCCTGCTCTGGCATGCAGCAGCTGTGTGATCTTGAGCAAGTGCCTTAACTCATCTGTGCCCTTAAAATGAGGTTTCGTCTGCTTGTGATCACACTGAGGTACCAGTTTACCCCCATGAGGATGGCTCTCATCAATTGGCCAAAGAAGGGTCTCGAGGCTGTGGAGCAATTGGAACCCTCCTAGGCTGCTGGTGGGAATGCACAATGGTGCAGCTGCTTTGGAAAACAGTCTGGCAGTTCCTCAAACACTTAAACATAGAGTTACCGGGGCGCCTGGCTGGCTCAGTTGGTGGAGCGCGTGACTCTTGATCTCAGGGTTGTAGGTTCGAACCCCATGTTAGGTGTAATTACTTTAAAAAATATAATTTATTTTAAAGATTTCATTTATTTGCGCGCGCGCGCGAGAGAGCAAGCTGGGGGGCGGGGGCGGCAAAGGGAGAGAGAGAACCTCCAGCAGACTCCCCGCTGAGCATGGAGCCTGACGCAGGGTTCGATCCCATGACCCTGAGATCACTACCTGAGCCGAAACCAAGAGTCGGATGTGTAACCAACTGAGCCACCCAGACATCCCCCCCCAAAATAAAATCTTTAAAAAATAAATAAATAAACATAAGAGTTACCAAATGACCCAGCAAGTCTACTTCTAGGTAGATGTTCAGGAGAAATGACAACATACATCCATACAAAATCTGGTGCCCGAGCAGTCCCCACAGCTTTGTTCCCAATAGCCAAAAAGTGCAAACAAATCACATGTCTGTCAGCTGACATCTGGCTCCTTTCACCCAGCATAAGGCTTTCAGGTTCCTCCACGAGGTAGCGCGTGTCCAGGCTTCCTTCCTTCCCTTTGCGGGCCCAATAGCATCCCGGCGTATGGAGGCGCTCTGCCGGGGTTCACATCCCTCAGCTGATGGGCTGTCCGTTGGGCTGTTTGTACTTGTTGGTTATTCTGAAGACGCTGCCCTGAACATCTGTGTTCAGGTTTTTTGGTAGACGCGGGTTTTCAGTTCTCTTGGGGATTTATGCAGGCTAGGTCATGGGGTGACTCTGTGTTGAGCTTTTTTAGGAACTCCCAAACCATTTTATCCGACGAGGCATCATTTTACGTTCCCACCAGCAGTGGGTGGGGGTTCCAGTTTGCCCAGATCCTCACTACCTGTCCTTGTCTATCTTTTTGACCGTTTTGGCCATTCTAGTGGGTGTGAAGGGGACAAAGGATTCCTTTTTTAAAAAATATTTTATTTATTTATTTGAGAAAAAGAGCACGAGTAGGGGGTAGGGGTAGAGGGAGGAGCAGACTCCCTGCTGAGCGGAGAGCCTGACGCGGTGCTTGATCCCAGGACCCTGAGATCATGACCTGATCCGAAGGCAGACGCTTAACCGACTGAGCCACCCAGGCATCCCAAAGTAATCCTTTAAAAATGAAAATAGGATCCTGTCTCAGGTAGACATCCCACCTGGAGGAGGAGGAGGAGAGGAATGTGTCCATGACCAGGCTCTGGTCTCTGGATGGTGGGGCTGTCCCCAAAGGACGAGGGGCAGGTGTAAGGGCTGATGCTGAAGGCACTTGGGATGCAATGAGGCAGACATCCTGAAGGAAGTGTCCCGCTACCCCAGGACACACACGTGGGGCCAGGGGAGAGGGCTGAACTGGAGAGATTCAGGGACCCTTTAGTTAAGGCCCAGGGCTGGGGGGAGGGGCCTAGGTCAGAGCCAGAGCACCAAGGACATTTCAGGCTGAGGAGGTAGACTCTGAAGAGGAGGAGGACAGGCACAGGCAGGGAGCAGGTGGCGAGGTGTTGACAGCGATGGGGGAGGGGGACCCTGGGGTGGCAGTGGTCCCAGGGCCATCCTGGTGAATGGCTTTGGCCCTTCCTCCGTCCCCAGAGAGGCAACCCCGTGCTGAAGTTTGTGCGTAACGTGCCCTGGGAGTTTGGTGACGTGCTTCCCGACTACGTGCTGGGCCAGAGCACCTGTGCCCTGTTCCTCAGGTGAGCTCTGAGGGGCTGCTGCGCCTTCCAGAGACCTGGGAGGCCTGGGAGGGTATGCCCCTGTGTTTTGGACCATTCAGTGGGAGACCTTTGGGTGTGGCCCTGTTGGCTCTAGGCCTCGGTGGGACCTTGTGTGGGAGGAAGAGGTCTTCGCCTGGAGGTGCCCAGAGCAAGAAGAGCTGCGGGCCCAGACCCTGGGTCTGAGGGAGGAGGGGGCTGGGGGCCTGGACTCCTGGGTCTGAGGGAGGAGGCGGCTGGGAGTTTGGACTCCTGGGTCTGAGGGAGGAGGGGCTGGGGG